AAGGATGGAGGGGGGGGGTGTGTGCGCGGTGGGTGATGGTGGAAACCGGCAGCGTTTTCTTGCTTGCTGCGTTGCCGCTGGCTGCACGTGACTTGCAAGCAGTGGAAATTGGCCCTGCGCGTCCCGTGCTCCTGCACTCGCTCTATATATAGATCTGCTGTGCACAGGGAGCTCGGGAAAGCCTGGGGGGGTGTGAGGGGTGGGGGAGTGGTAAGGAGGGAGAAATCACATGAGATAGAGGATTTCTCCTTCCTTCACCGGATTTTGGGATACCCCGGGCCATGCAGCTGAGAGTATCAGCTCCACATCACCACCCCAACCCCTGAAACTTCATGCCCATAGGAGACTCCATAGAATGGTTTGGGTGGGAAGGGACCTTCAAAGACCATCTAGTCCAACCCCCCCTGCCATGAACAGAGACATCTTCAACCAGACCAGGTTGCTCAGAGCCCAGTCCAACCTGACCTGGAATGTCTTCAAGGATGGGGCATCCACCACCTCTCTGGGCAACCTGGGCCAGGGGCTCACCACCCTCACAGGAAAGAATATATCCTTATATCTGGTCTAAATCTTCCCTCTTTTAGTTTAAAACCATTACTCCTTGTCCTATCACAACAGGCCCTGCTAAAAAGTCTGTCCCCATCTTATAAGCCCCCTTTAGGCACTGGAAGGGGCTCTAAGGTCTCCCTGGAGCCTTCTCTTCTCCAGGCTGAACGCCCCTATATCTCCCATGTCTTGCGGGGATGCTTCGTGCCCAGAGAGGACTTGGCAAGGGGTTCGTTAGCTGAAACGACCCGCTGTTCCCCAGATATTTGGTTGGCGCTGGGCGATGTCTCGCCGCTTCTGCTGGGTTTTTGCTGGCCGCCGGCCACCTCACGGGGCGGATGTGATGCAGCAGAGCTTAAAAACACAAGCGCCCCGTCGGAGGGGAAACCGCCTGGTATTATATATGGGGTTTTTTTGTTTTTTTTTTTCCTCCTCTTGGTTGGGTCTCGGGTTGCCCGGAGCTCGCAGCTTGCAGGCGGTGTGGTCCGGTAACCTGAGGATGTGAAATCTCCCGTGTCCGTCCGGCGAGAGGGCTGCGGTTTGGGTTTTTTTTCCTTTTTTTTTTTTTTAAGATTTTTTTTCATTAGGAAAAGTGCTTCGGCTCAGGCCTGTTGCCTCTAGGCTTCATAGAGGCATAGAGTGGTTTAGGTTGGAAGGGACCTTGAAGATCATTGAGTTCCAACCCCCCCGCCATGGGCAGGGACACCTCCCAGCAGACCAGGTTGCTCCAAGCCCCGTCCAACCTGACCTTCCTATGGCCACGTTGAAGACATACAAGGCAGAAAACCACACCAGCCATAGCAATGTACGTTTGCTTTGCTGGGCATAACCTGCACGACGGTGCCACCAGCAATGCCAGCGAGTCCCTTGGCTGTGAGGCACTTCTAAGCAAGCAAATACAGATGAAAACCCTTTGAAGAGGTGAGATTTAGGGGTAGGAGGACACACGTGCTGCTGGAACTCAACTGGCTTTTGGGCTGAGCATCCTGCTGAGAGCACGGAGAGTGGGGGGCAAAAAAACAAGATAAGTGGTGGAAGGAGGAAGGGGAAAGGGGGGAAAAAAAAGGCCCTTTATACAGTCAGCTGCAGTCGCCTGGGCTTGTTGCTGGCAGAAAGTAGGACACTCCTGCTGGGTTTTCTTCTCTGGAAAAGCTAAACTTGGCTGTGAGTGGGTGGAGGCAGCCTGCGTGGAGGTGCCTGTGTGTCTCACCATTGCCATCCCCATCGCCAACCATCTCTGCTGCCGCAGGGCTGGAGAGCTGCTGGAAGAGCTGCGTGTCCAACTGCTGGGGCCAGTTTGCCCAGAAGGGTTTAAGCCCAGGCTCTCAAAGGTGATTACACGCTCAGCTCGCTCAGATGAGTAGGAATTAAAGCCTAAATATCTCCGCTGTTCAGGCTGCCGTGGAGTATCCGGGGTCTTAGGTCTCTCCCTGGGTTTGGTGCTCGTCGGGGTGGATGTGGCGTTGGTGGAGTTGGGAGGTTTTGGGAAAGAAGGAGGAAGAAGAGAAGAAGAGGGTGGAGGTAGAGGAGGAAGAGGAGGGGGAGGGGGTTGCCTTGGTGTGTTTGCAGAAGTTGAGCAGCTCGTGGCCCGTCTGCATGTCTGAGTCAGGCATGGGGCCACGGAGCAAGCGGTGGCCACTCTGCTGGTGTTGGGGGTTAAATTGGAGTGGGGCAATTGGGTGTGAATTAGGTTAAAGGAGGCAGGAGAACAGAGGAACCGCTGAGCCCTGGAGCATCTTTGGGCTGGGTGATGCTTGCGCTCCCGCGCAGGAGGCTGTGGTCCACTCTTGCCGTGCTCCTGGATTTCCTCTGCCTCTGCGTTCTCCAAATTGGGACTTCCCGGGCACCCTGAGCCAAGGAATGTGGTTTCACAGCCTCCATCATGAAAAGCCCCAGTGCGAAGGCAGCACAGGCAGCTGCCATGTTCCTTCTCCTAGTCCTGGCTCTCCTTTTTTTTTTTTTTTTTTTTTTTTTTTTTGTGGAAGTAAACACAGCTTTTAATACCCTCCAAATCCCTTGGATCTGCTTCAAAAGGTATTTTCCTGCTGCTACTAATCCTGCAGTGGTCGACAAACAAGGTTGCCGTGTCTTGATTTCTTCTGAGCTTCAGGAGGGGGGTTATTAGTCCGCTCCTGCGTCTCTCCTGACCTTTGGGGTAAATTGGGATCGGGATGGACTCTGCGCAGTCACGTGTTTTATCCTCCCACGTGTTGCTGCCACTGTCCTTCTGCCAAGCTCTCGCTCGCGGTCCCAGCCCTTCTTGGGAAGGTTTCCAACGATGCCCAAATCTGGCTGCAGGTGGAGCGTCCCATTCTCTAGCCAAGATGTGGCCGTACGTGTCCATCCTGTGTGTCCTGGTGGCCTTCGCCAATGCTCGCAGCGTTCCTTACTACCCACCTCTCTCAACTGACTTGGTCAACCACATAAACAAGCTCAACACCACCTGGAAGGTGAGTACCGGATTGGTTTCAGGGTTTTTTTTTGGTTGCATTGCTCAACAGTTTCTTTGAGGGACCCGATAACTAAGTTTTGGGAGTCTCACCACAGTGGTCCCATCAAACCAGCCTTGGTCCCATCAAACCAGCCTTGGTCCCACTTGACTTCTCCAGTGAGTTGATGCTGTTGGGGATTTCTGCAGGGGCGGTAACTGTGCAGTTTCTCCTCTTTGGAGCAGAGCACTGATGAGTTTGTAGAGTAGGAGCAACGCTAAGAGGAGGAAACTCTGCGGGAGGCTGGAAAGAAGCATCAAGCTGTGTTGGTGACCTGGCCAAACCCTCCTCGGCCAAGCTGGTGTGGCCAAAGCTGAGAGGTGGACCTTAGCTTACTGGTCATAACGCACTGATCCTGGAAGGGGCTCTGTTCTGTGTCTATAGATAGCTTGACTCTTGGCCCCTGGGTTTTATAGCAAGTGTCAGACACTGGTTGGGTTTGAGGGAGATCTGGAGCTCCAGGCTGGTCCCAGCAATGCACTTGGTGGCTGTGAAGAGTCACGTCCCATTTCTCTGTGTCTCTTCCCAGGCAGGGCACAACTTCCACAACGTTGACATGAGCTACGTGAAGAAGCTCTGCGGCACCTTCCTGGGTGGGCCCAAGCTCCCTGAGAGGTGAGTGCTGGGAGAAGCTGATGAGGGCCCTGTAAAAGTTTATGTGGATGCTCCTGGTATGTCTGGAGTGGATGAGGGTCTCCTCAAGAGGGTCTCCTCAAAAGGCTGTGAGCAGGGTTGCCCTGGGTGCAGCTTGGTGGACATCTTGCATGGAATTAAGCACAGAAGCATGCGTGGGGGGAACATCCATCCTCTGTCCTGCCAGATACTTGACCAAGCGCATAACTTGTACTCCTTGAAACTCAAAACACTGGAGGAGCTGCTGACCTGGTCTGAGGACTTCAGAAGTATTTATTCTCCTTCAGTAAGCAACCAACAAGACTGAGAGAGTTGGGGTTATTCAGCGTGGAGAAGAGAAGGCTCTGGGAGACCTTATTGCGGCCTTCCAGTACCTAAAGGGGCTACAGGAGAGCTGGGGAAGGACATTTACTGGGGCATGTAGTGATAGGATGAGGGGGAATTGCTTTAAACTGGAAGAGGGGAGATTTAGATTAGATATTAGGAAGAAATTTTTCACTCTGAGGGTGGTGAGCCCCTGGCGCAGGTTGCCCAGAGAAGTTGTGGGAGCCCCATCCCTGGAGGTGTTCAAGGCCAGGCTGGACAGGGCTTTGTGCGACCTGGGCTGGTGGGAGGTGTCCCTGCCCATGGCAGGGGGGTTGGAAATCAATGATCTTCAAGGTCCCTTCCAACCTAAACCACTCTATGATTCTATGAACAAGAGCACTGGTCCTCCAAGTCATCGTCAGAGGAGGTTGGAGAGTCCTGTGCACCCAGTCCTGTTACACTGGTGTTTTTATAACAGGACTTCCCTCTTCTCACTTGCAGGGTGAATTTTGCTGCAGACATGGAGCTGCCCGATAGCTTTGACTCCCGGACGCAGTGGCCTAACTGTCCTACCATCAATGAGATAAGAGACCAGGGCTCTTGTGGCTCTTGCTGGGTAAGAGCGTGGGCAGTTTAAGGTCATGTCAATACAGAGACTGCTGGACAAAAAAATATGCTGTTGAGTTTGCTACTGAACTGCATAAATGGGGGGGACACGGGGGATCCCGCAGTGTCTGAGCTTCTTGATGGGCTTCTCCCAGCCAGGCTCATGCTTGCTGCACTCCTTGCCAGAAGGTTGCCTGGTTTCTCTCCGAGGAACGGCTCTAATGCTCTTCCCTCGGGTTTTTGGGGCTGCCCACAGGCTTTCGGTGCCGTAGAAGCGATTTCGGACAGAATCTGCGTTCACACCAACGCCAAGGTGAGCGTGGAGGTCTCAGCGGAGGACTTGCTGTCATGCTGCGGCTTTGAGTGTGGCATGGGGTGAGCTGCTCTTGCTTCTTTTGCACTTAAAAGGTGGGTGGGAGGAGCAGGGACACAACCTGAAGATGCTGATCTGTCTTCCTGGTTGCCCTAACGAGCAGGAAGTCCAACCAGTGGTTTTTGCTGTAGGTGCTGTAGTTAGGTGGGAACATGAAAGTGACTGCATGGACTGAAGGTCTCTCGGGGACACATCCTGCCTCCAGCAGTAGCTGGATGATGATGGATGGTGGAGGGACGGTGAGCACATAGTGATGCTTTCCCCATACAACGTTGGAAGCCGCCTAAGCCAAAGGAAGGATCTTCCAATAGCCCCAAAGCCTTGGTTTCCAGGCACAAGCCTTCTGCCTGTGGCTTTTGCGCTTGTTGAGAGCAGGGTGGGGAGTTGAGTGTCCAAGTTGTGTGTCTTCTGCTGCTCCTGGGGGCAGAGACTGATCAGGGACCTGGTAAGGAGGCACCACTGCTTTGGGATTTGAAGGCATTGGTGCTTTTAGCTCCTTCTCGCCCTGAAGCTTTGGTGTCTCAAGGTGTAGAAATCCTGGGGAGGGCAGGGACAGACTTAAAACCTTCAACGTGCTGAAGGCTTCCCTTCAGCCATCCAAAGCTGGCTCCGTTTCCCTTGCCTCCCCCAAACGGGGATGGCTCTGAGCAGGGTGGAGCTGAACTGCTGCTTCTTTCTCCAGGTGCAATGGTGGTTACCCCTCTGGCGCGTGGAGGTACTGGACAGAGAGGGGCCTCGTGTCTGGGGGTCTCTACGATTCCCATGTGGGTAAGTCCTGGTGGATACCCTTGTGAAAGCAAAGAGGAGCGTCTCTGCTACATTACCTGTTCATGTCCTTCAGGGTCCTTCTGCATCTTTGTGGCTGCTCCCTCCTTCAAGTCTGGGCTCAAATGCCTCTGCTATCCCAGCTGGCTGCTCCTGTCCCCATGGCTCCTGGTCACCCCTTTGGGTCTCCGAGCAGCACCTAGTGGCAGAAGACCCATCCAGGAAGGGAGCACAGTAGCCAGACTTAACAACCCCACAAGGCTTCTGCTTCCGTAGCCGGCATGAATTGGGCTGTGGTTTTGTTGTTGTTGTTGTTGCTGGTTTTGGACCAGTGCAATACAGTTTGGATGAGGGCACAAACCTTCCTGACACGTTTCCTCCTCAAAAAGTAACCTGGAGGGGTTTTCAGACTGGAAACCTCGGCCTTCTCCTAGCATGGCCATGAGTTAGTTCATGTTTCCATCTTTTCCATCACCTTGTCAAGAGGGAGGTGGTGGGAAACAAGTCCAGAAGGGAAACCCATTGTTGATGCAGCGATTGCTCATCTGGCAGTGGCATACCTGCTCTTGCCCGCACCCTGCTGATCTGTGGGGTTTTGAGGTCAGAAAGGTCTTACCCTTTCTTGGGGTATCGGGTACCTTCTCCAGAACGGCTATTGGGGACAGGGGTGCTTGAGGACAGCCAGTTCACGCCGCCTCTGCTCTCAACAGGCTGCCGTCCCTACTCCATCCCACCCTGTGAGCACCATGTCAACGGCTCCCGGCCACCATGCACCGGTGAGGGGGGTGAAACCCCCAGGTGCAGCCGGCACTGCGAACCCGGCTACTCGCCCTCGTACAAGGAGGACAAGCACTACGGTAAGGGAGGTGGCCTCCATCACTGTTAGATGCTCAGCAGCTCCAGAGCTGCTCCTAGTGGTAGCTTGGTGGGGCTGGCAGGGTTGGACCTCTTCCTGAGCTATTTTATCGACTCGTAGAATTGTCTAGGTTGGAAGGGACCTTTGAGATCATCAAGTCCAACCATTAACCTAACACTGTCAAAACCACCACTAAACCATGTCCCTAGGAGCAGAGGATGGTTCTTATGGTGGTTATTTTCTGTGTTCTCAGGATGGGTGGTCCTGGAGCAAACATAAGCCTGGCAGATGGAGATTTGTCTTAGCTTCAAGTAATTTGGGTTGCTTTGGAAATGAGGATGTGCAAGGGGAAAACTTCCCTTCCCACTGAAGCTGTCTGGAATACGCCTTTGGGTACAGAGTAGGACTTGGGTTAAATCATTTTGCCCAGTGACAGGACAAGAGGGAACGGGCACAAACTTGAACATAGGAAGTTCCATCTTAACACGGGGAGAAACTTCTCTGCTGTGAGGGTGGCAGAGCAGTGGCACAGGCTGCCCAGAGAGGTGGGGGAGTCTCCCACTCTGGAGACATTCCAAACGCTCCTGGACGCCGTCCTGTGCCACTGCTGGAGGTGCCCCTGCTCTGGCAGGGGGTGGCACTGGGGGAGCTCCAGAGGGCCCTCCAGCCCTGACCATTCTGGGATTCGGTGAAGACCTCTTGCAGGAGCATGCTGAGCAAACTCTGTCCAGCTGTCCCACGACCTGCGTGGCCTGACAATGCCATACTAATGGTAGGATTTTTTTCCTCCCTAGGCATCACATCCTACGGTGTCCCTCACAGTGAGAAGGAAATCATGGCCGAGATCTACAAGAATGGCCCAGTGGAAGGAGCCTTTATTGTCTATGAGGACTTCCTGATGTACAAGTCTGGTGAGCATCAGCACTGAGGCTGCAGGGAGCCCTGTTGCCTACTTCACCCGTAGGGTCTGTCTTTTATGGCCCTTGTCCCTCTACTCAAGTCTGAAAAGAGATCTCAAGTTCACACTTGAGCACCTGGTGTTGCAAGAACATGGGCAGATACCATATCCTCTATCCATTGGTTTGTAACAAGAGGAATAGGTGCTTGGGACTGTCTCAGGGAGGAAGCCCCAGTGGGGAACCCCCAGAATTGCAGCTGAGAACAATCCCGGCAAATGGTTTTCCTGGAGTGGACCCCAATTCCCTGTTCTGAACTGCTTGGGGTGTGCCACCCTGGTGACCCTTGCCACGTGTTTCTGTGTGCTGTGTGCTGAGCTGGTGCTTAGCATCAGCCCTTCCTCCAGATGCTCTGCTAAGCTTCAGGTTTCCATTTAACAAAAAAAAAAAACCCAAAAGCTGGTCTCTGGGCTTTGATCTCAAACGTCTCATGAGCCGGCAGCGGTCTGAAGCGGAAGGAGACACGCGGCGCCTGGTGACGTCTTTGCCTTGTTGCCTCGTAGGGGTCTACCAGCACGTGTCCGGCGAGCAGGTTGGAGGCCACGCCATCCGGATCCTGGGCTGGGGGGTGGACAACGGGACTCCGTACTGGCTGGCCGCCAACTCCTGGAACACCGACTGGGGGGACAACGGTGAGGCCACCCCTGGAACGCTGCCTGCGGGTGTGGGGAGAGGGAGGTTGCTGGAGGGGAACCCCTTCCCTGTGCTCCTTTGGCACGATGGGGAGGTTGACTATGGCTCTTGGTGTGCTTCCAGGCTTCTTCAAAATCCTCAGAGGAGAGGACCACTGCGGCATTGAGTCGGAGATCGTGGCTGGCATCCCCAGGCCGGAGCAGTACTGGAAGAGAGCGTAACCCTCTTGATCAAACCACAAATAATCCTGAGTCCCCGATGCTTTTAACCGATAGCGGGTTGGGTGCAGAGCCCCTCCTTCTAAGAGACTATAGTTGAGGTTACTTTATTAAAGCTTTTTATCTTTTTTTGGGTTGGTTTTTTTTTTATTTTATTTTTTTATGGTGGAGCTGGAGGTGGAACTGCTCTCTACAAGCCCTCTGCTCCTGGTGGGTTGTGGCTATGGGGCATTCCCTGCTCAAAGGACTGCTGGAGGGCTCCCTGGCCTCTTGCGCCATGGGATTCGGTTAGCCCAGACCCTTTCCAGCCCAGTCTGTTACTGGGAAGGTTGGAAGCAGTAGCTTTGTGCTGGGATGAGGGACGTGGTGGGGCAGTGGAGATGGACCCTGCTGGGAAGCCATGGCCAGGCGCGATTTGTGTACCCCTGGCTGGGTTGGTCTGCCTGGTGGCACCCAAAACAAGCAGGGTGTGTTAGTGTGTGCCTTGAATTGATTGAATTTAGACCTATTAATGACGAAATACTGACGAACTTGATGCGGGGCTGGCTCTGGCCGGAGCTGTGTTGAGGCCCCTCCTGCCTGCAACAAGTCCTTTGTGCACCACTTGCTCCGCTCCATCCCTTCAGCTGCTGTTTTAAACCACTTGCTCCTCAGCTTTTTAGGTTTGGTGGGTTTTTTTAGTATTTTTTTTTTTTTTTGTCTGATGTAGTTTGGGGTTATTGATCCTAGGGAAGGGCCCGGCCGGAGCTCAACGAGCCTTTGATCAAATGTCCTGCAAGCATCTTAGAAGCGCGCTGGGAAGAGCAAACCAGTTGTCCTCGGTGGTGTGGGGTGGTGGGTCATGGTGTGGTGCCGCATCCAAAGCTGGTGTGGTGCTTTGGGGCTGCAGATGCCGAACGGGGAGCAGAGACGAGGGCTGTTCCCCGGGGTTCTGCCGGGAGCTCAGGCAGATGCTTGGAGGTATCTATCTCGCTAACTTGCACACAACTGAAGCTTTTTTTTTTTTCTTTCCTTTTTTTATTTTGAGCTACCAGCGTTAAGGAAGAAGAAAAAAAACCCTTATTTTTGTTACTGGGGGGACATGTAATAGCTGTGTAGGAGGAATCATGTGATTTGCCAACACTAATATAGTGAAAGAGCTTCTCTTTTGGTTGTTTTTTGTTTTGTTTTGTTGTTTTTTTTTTAATTTTAAAGCACAGAGTGTATCGCTGATGTGGCTGCAGGCCCTGAACCGCGCGAAGCAGGCTCCCCCTTGCACTGTACAATAGCCCCCTTACCTCTGCTCACTCAGACACCAGTGAGACAGAGCTGTGGTGTATATGATTGGAACAACTGTGCCAATAAATGATTTCTCCAAGATCTCGGCTCCTGCCCCTTGGTTGCTTCTGCTTGACTTCAAACCACCTCACACTGGTCTCTTGTTGCTCTCTCCGTTGTGGAAGCCAGTGAGACGCTGCTGTCTTCATGCATGTGGTTGGTCCCAGCGCTGTCCTCTGGCCATACTGGTTGGCAGCGGGACTTGTGCTGACTCCTGAGGAGCCACCGGGCATTGCCTACCCCTGGTGATGGGGAAGGTTCTTCAACGGGGACCAGAGTGCAGCCAGAACTGCCCCCAGCATCTCTGCACGCTGGCACAGGGGGTGCACGGGGAGGAGGATGCACCAAGGCACCAGAGAGCATAGAATTGTGTAGGTTGGAAAAGACCTTCAAGATCATCGAGCCCAACCATCAACCTAACAATGCCAAACCCACCACTAAACCATGTCCCTCAGCATCACGTCTACCTGTCTTTTAAATACCTCCAAGGATGGCAACTCCACCACTGCCCTGGGCAGCCTGTTCCAGTGCTTGATAACACTTTCCGTGAAGAAATTTTTCCTAATATCCAATCTAAGCCTCCCCTGGTGTGACTCAAGGCTTTTTCCTCTTGTGGAGGGGAATTAGAATCATAGAATCATCATAGATGAATTACCCATGTAAAAGAGACGACAGCTAAAAAAAACCAAACAAATCAAACACTCTTTTTTTTTTTTCCCTAAAGAAAACTTTAATTTTTAACAAGACAGGAAGCTGCACAAAGAGAGCTACCGCAAGTTTCTTTTGAACAACAGCTTTAAACTATCTACATCGGTACTTGTGGAGTAGGGGTCCTCCTCCTGAGCAGCAGTCTGGCCGCAGGAGCTTGGCCTTGCAAAGGCCACCAAACTGCACCCAGTAGACAGCTCTGTCCACTACCGGGACATGGGCTGTCCTTCCCTTCACAGAGGCAAAGCAGCATTTGAGGGGGAGGTGGGTAAGGACCCCAAAAACAACAAACCACCCTGGGAAAAATGGAACTTGCCTTTAAAGGGTCGGTTCCTCTTGAAGAAAGTCCAGCCTGATGTCCTTCAAAACAGCAGTGGAAGCTGCCTTCCAGCTTGCACGTCCGTCTAACTCAAAGCACCATCCCAAACTAGAGCCGAGTGGGCCGGGGACACCCGTCCTGGGCCACCAACCTCCTCCTCGGTGGCTCAAGCCTTCCCAGCCCTCGGCAAGGATCACTGCTGCCTTCCAGGGTGGCCAATACACCAAGTCTCCCCATCACCAAAAAAATAAAAACATCCAATGAGGGACAGCACGGTGCCTACCCTCACTCCCCTGCCTTGCAGAGACACCCAGCGCTGCTGCTGCTCTGCCATGGCCACCCGTCCCCTCGGGGTGAAGAAGGGGTGCAAAGCCCAGACCCCGCAGCGGGGTCAGGCACGGGGTTATTAGCTCAGGGCCACGCAGGCAGCTCCCCTTCTCATTTTAACCGCCTCCCCAGCTGCTAAAACACGAAGCTCTGCAAGCGCAGGGCGCCGTCTGCTAGAAGGCAGGGAGCTGCAACCGGTGGCTTTCAGCCAGGGGCACGTCGAAGCGGACAGAGCATCCCACCTCCAACATTATTTACCGTTAAAAGGGCTTGTTTCAAGCCTAGCAGCCTCCTTCAGCACACCAACAGAAACGTGAAGATTGCCTCTGCCTCTTTGCAGGCTGCAGGATGTCAACCAGCCTGGGCTGAGGGCCAGAAGGTGGCCAGAGCCTTTTCCCTGGGTAAGGAAACGTGTTCCTCTCCCGGCTGAAACAGCGTCCTTCCAGTGCAGAGCAGGCACTGGAGGCACTGGGGAAGAGGCTGCCTAAGAAAGGGAGGCAAAACCCAGAAGGTTTTGCTCAGCTCAGAGCTGGGAAGGTGTCTCAAATCTCAAGCACGAAAAGAGGCAACTGGAGTTTCTATTGAAAACCATCCTAACGAAAAAAAAAAAAAAATAATTTCGGTAAACCATCCAACAGGAAAGAAGGGGGGGAAAGAAAATATTCAACCTCAAACAGTAAGACTCCGATTAGCATTCGTAACCATCCAAGCAGATGGCAAGGGTGGTGAGGAGCGGAGTCTGGCAAAGCCACACCGTTGCCCCGGGGCTGCAGCTCACCGGCATCCCATCCTCGTCACTGTCCCCATGGTACCCCGCTGCCTGGCCATCCCCACCGGCAGGCAGGGGACGAGGAGCCTTCTGCCTCTGCTGCCCATCCGCCGACCGTCTCTCCCCCTGCCATCCCCGCTGCCCATCAGTTCTCGCCCGCCTGGACGTACTCCTCGGTGGCCTTGGAGATGGTGCTCAGGTACTGCCAGCTCAGGGCGGCCAGGAGCATGGCGCACGACAGGTAGATGGGGGAGTAGTGGTGGCGCGACACCATGGGGCCGCCGGGCAAGCTCATGGCACGGATGGAGGCGATGATCTGCTGCGTCTTGTTGGATGATGGGTCCGTGCTTGGGATCTTCTGGTAGATCTGGGGAGAGAGGCAGGAGGAGTTACAGTTCCCAACCAACGCTGAGCAGACAAAACAGGACCACTACATGGAAGAAGAAGCCTCAAGGGCCGCTGTGTCCTCAAGAGCAACCTCAGTGGGTGGTGGACTGTCGTGGAGCAAGGACCAGCTGCAAGGGATGCCTGAATGGGGCCAAGGCCCATTTCCCTTGAGAAGTGCATTAAGCCAAGCAGCCTCTTGAGGGCACCCCATGACGGGAGATGGACCACACGGCCCCAGACACAATCCCTCAACCCCAAGTAGTGTTGCTGGGACCAGCGGTTCTCGCCCAGAAACCCTCACTTGCTGCCGGTGCGCTGCAGCCCAACCCAAACCAGTGAAGACAGCCCCAGTGTGACCAGCAGCTGGTGTGACTGCCAGGAAATGGCCACCATCATCAGATAACCCCATGGTCTTTGGGGTTTTCTTTGCATGGTCTGCAAAGCCAATGGTACTTGAGATACATGTCTGCATGAGTCTCAGGGTGGAGTGCACAAGCAGACACCCTCCTCTGGGCTAAGCTGTCCCTTGCCATGGGGCTGCCCAGACCACAAAAGGAGCTCTAATCAGCCATGGTTTGGGGTCTCCCTGGTGCAGAAGGAAATGACTTTTTATTTAACAGCCCTTGCTGGATTTATTTTTTGGGGTTAGAGGTGGGGTTTTTTTTCATGAATCTATCCACCAGATGTTCCTCCACATGAAATTTTAACCTCCACAGTACCCTGAAGTTGGGAGTCCCACTGCTTCAACCACCTGCAAAGAGCTGCCCTCATTCACTGTTGGCCATGGAGCACAAGGAAAGAGCCACCACACCACTCTGCCAGCTGCAACTACGGGCACAGTGAAAACAAGACTGCGTGCTGTGGAGCAGCCCGTGGTGAGATGATGCAACCTGTTCAGAAGTGTGTTGCGGGAAAGGTCCTCTGTGCCTGCTCAGCCCAAGGGAACTCCTGCGCTGTGACAGCTGATGCCTCTGGTTTTCCACCAGGAGGACAGCAGGACCTCGGTCTCTACTTCTCAACACAGGCACAGACCAAGGGTACGTTCAAGGGAACACAAACACCCAGTTCGGTCCAAGTCAAAACCATATGAGGGTCACCGTGCCTTGCCACCACTGAACTAACTAAGAGACAGAAGGAAAGGATTAACAGATTCACAGGTCTTCTCAATTCCACACCGGCAATGAGGACAGGAACAGCCAGAAATCAGCTGCTCAACCTACCTCTTCCACGTACTGGTACATGATGGCTTTGACAGCTTGGATGTTTGTGGCATCCATCATGAGAGTGACAGCTTGTCCCTTC